GAGAATATATACATACTGTAAGTTAATTTGAATAGCATGGCATTCAATTTATATATAATAAATCATTAGTCTTAATAATAATAATAATAATAGTGATTTAGATTTATTAAGTATAATTAATTTAGAATTTTAAGTTAGATATAATTAGTTGGGTTAATTAATTAATTAAAGATAATTTTAATTCGGTTAGAGTTGTCAATTGGGTGGTTAGAGTTGTCAATAGTGATGTTAAAGTTATCAATAGAGTTGTTTTAAGTTATTAAAAGTCACTTTTTATTTGTTTTGCGTAATTCTGACATGTTTAGAGTTATCAGTAGGATAAGTTGGAGCTTTCAAATAATAATACATCTTTACTAAATTATGATTTATTATTAGTATGGAAATTTGTTTTAGTTAAAGTAGTAAGTGACCACTAAATTACTTAAGCTTAGATAGAAACCAAGTAGTACATGTAGCATATAAAATAAAGAGGCATATATAATCAGCAGAACAGTAGAATTAAAGGTAGCATGTATATGTAGTAGGAATAATGAATTATTAGGTAGTAGAAATAGCAGAAAGTGGTAATAGTAAAAAAGATTATTTAGCAGGATCATTTTAGTAACAAATTAATATTGAATAAATGTCTAGTAACTTTTGAAAAAAAACAATATTAACAGTATGGACAACCCGATGACAATGTGCTAATAATATATCAGAGACATAATAAGAACTTTAGAACAAAGCAGAATTATTAAAACTTTTATCTGATAATTAATTAATCAGAAATAGTCGTAATAGTCCAAATAATTACGTGTTTTATTTGTAGTAAATTTTGGTTGACTCGTTGTATTGTGTTCTTTATTGAAAAATATGAATTAGTAGGTGATGTTATTGCCTTTATTTATAGGAAAAATATTAAGTTATAGGCTTATGGTCAATGTCCGTTTGTTGTTGCGTTGCTATGGAATTTTATTGTTGCTATTCTGACATTCATACTGTGTTGCATACATAGCATATCAAGTTGGAGCTGATGCTCGGTAAGTTAGCCTGGATTGGCAAATTAAGTTGAAGGCTTATGCCTTATAGATGCCTCTATTAATTGACAGATTTTTAAGTTGGGAGTTTTACTCCGTTGGTACCACATGCATGTGCGTTGTAACGAGTCGCATTCCATATTGCATATTTGAGATGTTGTGTTGTTGACTTGTGATTATTGATGTTGGTTGAAAGTTGTGAAGTGGTGATTTTATATAATCTGATCTAATATATTATTTATTATACAATCAAGAAGGATAGTTGTTACCTTCGCTAGTTTGCATCGGTGTTGTCGCTCTGATACGTGGCACTAGGGGGGATGAACACATGTTTTCTTTATTGTTGGTTTTTATTATGTT